CTATTATTATTTCATTATTATTATTTTATTTTTTCACCATTTTATTCATTAAACTATTATATTATTATTTAATTATCAATATTTTTTTATTATTTATCTATTATACTATTATTATAATTCTTATTTCATTATCATTATTTCATTTTTAATGATAAATAAATCTTTTTTTTTTATTTTTTATGATGCATTTCGTATTTAAGAGATTTTCCCTAAAAGAATCCACTATATACTAATATTAGTCTCAGGTACTGCAAGATGTTAATTTCTTAAAAAATATGTTCTGAGTGTCGCATTGTTTTCTTTGTCTCTCCTTATGTGCAGTAAGCAGTGTGAGGAGGGACGAGGGGGGGGCGCTGTCCCTTGTTAACCTGCCATCTCTCTCCATCCTCTGGGTCCACACCATAGACTGTATTAAATAACGTTGTAGCTACCGTGACGTCACCTATTGGATTATCAGCTCCCATTTTGAGGCCTCAGGTTCGGCATTTCAATTGTTGCTATCTTGTTTTTTTGGAACCTGAAGCGACCATATTGAGCAAGAGGTGGATCTGACTCAGACTGTGGTGACGCTTTGCAGACAGCCTGTCACTAAAGCAGCCACAGCCTTAACTATGTGTAAATTTAAGCCTTAATAAAAAGTGAACAGGTGAGTTATATAAAACATCAGCCACTGTACAGTTGATATGAATGTTTAAATTAGCTAGAGACCAAAACTGTTTTTGTACCAGGCTGTAAACATGTTTATTTCTGCTGTAAAGCTGATAAGGGGGAGGTAAAGGATGGAGAAGAGAAAGAAAGGGTCAAGGAAGGAAAGGAGGAGTTAAATAAACATAAACACGTGTCTCCTCACCAATAAGGATGGAGGCGATACTGGCGGGACTGAGGCCTAGCAGTGGGCGTTGCGCCTCCTCCCTGGCCATCAGAGACTCCCCACAGACAGTCTGGAGGTAGGAGGTGAAGGCGTGTCTGAGGGTGGAGCCCAGCTGACACCAACGCATTGACCGGTCCACAGAGACTCTCCCCAGCACCAACTGGCTGCTGGTGACGCCCTTCGCCTCCTCCTCCAGGGCCTCCACGGGACACATGGATCCTGCTCCTCCTCCACCTGAACACTGGAGACGCACCAGGACCCGGTACGAGTCTGGAGGAGAGGAGAGGAGAGGAGAGGAGAGGAGAGGAGAGGAGAGGAGAAAATAGTGTCACAGTAGGTTCAGTGATTTAATGTTGAACTTAATAACTGCCTGGAGCCAAATGAGGCTTTGCTTTTATGGATTATTTTAGACAGTGATGTGATGAATACTGACTGTATCATGTTAAATGTAATATAATGTTAAATATAATATAATGCAACTGATTCTGTTACAATACTCAAAAAGCAACATTAAATTCAAATGTAAAAAACATCCTCTAAAAGTTAAATGTGGTGCCAATTATCATATATATTAACTTCCAGTGAAAAGTCTTGTTACAGGATTCCACAAAATTATGTGGTTTAAATGTTGAAATCAATGATTTCAACCAAATAAATGATGTGTCTTATATGTGTATGTACATAAATATGATACTGTAATACTGATTTCATCTATCCAACCAGCCCTATATATCTTGCTTATTTCTTAGTACTTGTAAATTTTCTTTAAAGGTCCAGTGTGTGAGATTTAGAGGGATTTTATGTAATCTGTGAGGACTGCAGATTGCAACCAGGAAGTTTTAACTGGAAGCCGAATTATCCACAGAGGTGGACCTGCTAATATGTGCTCACCTATTTTCTCTGATAACTTAAAATCCAGATGTTCAAAACGTTTTTATCGGGAGCTGAATTATCCACAGAGGCCTCTCCCTCTCCAAAGTTACAAATCAGTGTTTCTCCAATTCTGTTTGGCATGTTGAAGACAGGCTGCTGGCATGGCACACACACGTGTTCATCGTTTTCCTCTGATAATTTAAGATCTAGACATGAAGAAGGTTTACCTCTTCCTCTCCAGAACAAACAGACCAGCTGATTAAAAACGGTGAAAACACCAAATGAAGCAGTTTCACATTTAAAGACAACGTTTTCCATGCTCTCATGTTGGAGTGGCCAATGTGAAAACATGAATGGCCCTATCTAGAGCAAGTGTTTGGTTTGTCCTTTCTGGGCTACTATAGAAACATGGCGATCTACTTAGACAAGGATCTGCTCCCTATGTTCAATTTCTTCCACTATATCCCCCTGAATCCTACACACTGGAGCTTTAAGTAAATATAATACCACTGACAATAAAGTAATTACATTACAGTACATGCTTTGTAAATTTCTGATTGATCAGTCAGTAAAAAGTTGAGAGAGGAAATAAAACAGACACATCTTACAAACCACTGTGACATCTTCTGCTTCCATTGCTTCTCAATGTTTTTTGTTATGATGCAATAATGAGTAGCAGAATTCATCTTTAAGGCATAAAACCCATGTGCAAACACACACACACACACACACACACACACTCACGGAGGTTTTCAAGTAGATCTTTGCAGTCATCAGTCGCCACGTCATGAATGGTGCGATTACACTTATCCCTCCTCTCGATGTCCTGTTCACTGTGGCTGCACAGCACCTCCAGACAGTCCTACACACACACACACACACACACACACACACACACAGATTACGATCAGTAATGAGCATGTGCACAGTTCAGGGTGTGTGACCACATACACGAGTATTTGTGCAGCACAGGCTCTTGTGTTTTATGAAAGCACGGATCAAGGAGTGAGTGGAGGTCTTCATTTATATTCAAGTCAGACACTCAGTGTGGAGCAGTCTAGTCTGGTGTCTCTGTCTCCTGCATTTGTTTAAGCTGAGCCGGACTTTTCAGCCAGCAAGGTCAGCTGTCCCATTACCCTGCTGCTGAGGAGACTGATGGCAGGGCTGGACATTAGTGGAAGTGCAGGGACTGGACAGAGTCAGTGTAGTGGACACGAGGACACAGGAGAGGAAACATTTCAAGATTATCTTACAGACTGCAGAACAGCAACAGATCAGGAGGTTGACTCAATGTGGCATCGCTGAGAATTAGTTTTTTGGCCAGTGGGAGACAGAAGACACACATCACTGATACATTCTCAGTTTGCAAAGTAAATGCTAACATATTAGCGAGCAGTTGCTTATTTACACACCCAGCAGCCACAAAGCAACATTAGCATTCATTTAAGCCCAGTTCAGACCAAAGATTTGGGACAAGATGAAAATGTTTTAGAACGTTCCAGAGAAAAGTTGCAGTGGTGTGAAGTGGTCCATCTCAGCTCAACTCAAGCCAGCTGATGGTGCTGCCTGTGACAGTCCTGCACCGGGTCAGGTAGCCAACAGGTAACCCACAAAAAGCTGTGTAACTGGCCCACACACGGGCGGGCAGTGGGTGAGAACAAAAATCTATTTTTTATTTTAACTAATCTCTATTATTAAGCTGCAGTTCTTTTTATTTTGAAAGTCAGTGACACTAGTGTAACCTTTGACCCCGTGGTCTCATTGGTCACCGACGTGGAGGACTCCAGCCATGAAACTTTGCAGCCCGAGGATGAGGTGGCAGCCTACATGGAGTTCAAGACACCCAAGGAGGATCCTTTGGAGGTTTGATGGTGGTGGAAGGAGCATGCTAACATGTTTCCTAACCTGGCAGTGATTGAATGTTTTCACCATCCAGTCAAAGAGACGTCCAATTCAAGAACGGAGAACCAGCTTAATGTGAGGGACTGGAGCCTGGAGGGGTTTGATCATGGGTTGCAAGTCTTTTATTAACAGATGCAGCTTTGACTTAGACATAATGACTGGTAATAGGTCAGTTCTGGTACTGAGCTTTATGGGTATGGGCGGGTGCAGGTTTTCAAAAATGGACCAGTGCAGGACTCTGCCCTGTGACGCAGCTTGTTACTGCTGCTGCTGCTGACTGTGCGTACACACGTCACACACACATATTCACAAACTGATTAATTAGTGCTGGTTATGTGATTTATTGTGGTGTATTTATATAAACACAGCTCATATGTTTTCACCATCGTATCACTACTACAAATGCAGCTGCAGCCAGTATCTCACTATCACTACCCTCATTCATATTTTAAGAAGCTACAAATTATATTCAGCCACAAAATCAGCCTGAAATGTTTGAAGTTAGAATGTAGGTAAATGGGTCGTTGCTTTGGAGACGATACACCGTCTTGTCTTGTCCAATGAGTGTGAACTCACAGGTTTTTGGAACATTGTAGCAGTTGTTTCAACTCCTCTTGTCACGAGTCTCTGATCTGAACTGGGCTTCAGACTCGTGTTACTCTCCATCTGCTGAATGTGAAGCCAATATTCTGGCAGCCTTTTGTTAGGTATGATCAAATCTTAACCTACACAGTAAATGAAGCCAAAACAATGAGCTGAAAGAGGCTGAAAAGCTCTGCAGTTTGTGACGGTGTGTCACTGAGGTTTCAGCCCTGTGAGCGACCCATGTTACATCACACACAGGCAGATGATTCATCATCACATTTTGTGGCGGCTCATTCTCACCTTGAGGCCCAGGGCGGCAGCCATGTGGGCAGCCGTCCAGCCGTCACTGTTGGCGTGGTTCAGCAGGGCAGCAGGCAGTGCCAGGGTGGCGGGGGGGTCAGGGGTCACAGTGGGGTCACCCTGAATTGGATGGCAGAGGAGTAGACGCAGCGTGTCCACGTGTCCGGAGCGCACCGCTGCGTGGAGAGCCGTGAAGCCGTCCTGCAGAGAGGTAAAGGTGATTTACTGCTCAGTAAATACAAAACTCTCAGACTGACGTTCATTCATATGAAATGAGTCTTTTGTATCATTAATGTTTGTACCAAGTAGAACAAATGTGATTTGCTTCTCACGCTGCATTTCAGGGAGGAACGTCACGCAATAATTTGATTACAAGTCAAGAAATGTCGGGAGACATCCACTCATGTCACACACAGGTTCATATCAGGGCCGCAGCTTACGTTTATTTTCATTACTGATCACAGGAGTCTGACAATTATGGTCTTCACTCATTCATTTTCTGTAACCACTTATCCTGTTAGGGGTCACAGGGGCTGGAGCCTATCTGACAGCTGACACTGGGTGAGAGGCAGGGTTCACCCTGGACAGGTCACCAGACTATCACAGGGCTGACACATAGAGACAGACAACCATTCACACTCACATTCACACCTACGGACAATTTAGAGTCACCAATTAACCTGCATGTCTTTGGACTGTGGGAGGAAGCTGGAGCACCTGGAGGAAACCCACGCTGACACGGGGAGAACATGTAAACTCCACCCATCCTGGGTTTGAACCAGGAACCCTCTTGCTGTGAGGCGACAGTGCTAACCACTGCCCCACCGTGCCGCCCAAAATACAACAATGCCGACCCCGGACTGTTTTATTCCTCCACTCCTACAAATGTTGTATTTTCTGCTGCTGTTCACGATAAAAAAGTTCCTCTTGTGGTCAGAAAGCACCTAAACTGGTTCTGGTAACAGAGGTGGAAAAGACAAAATGGGAAAATGCAAATCAGCTGCTAATTATGCAGCTGAGTAATTAAAAACCTGAGCAGCCCACTTTTTACCCTAATTTTTATATTGTTGTTTAAAATAATTTTAATCAGCTTTAAAAATCCAAAATGAGCACCAGGGTAAAAAATACTGCATGTTTTCTCTTCACCCTGCTCAGAGCTCCTCCTCCATGGTAAATCATTACGTCTGACCCGACACACACTGGCCAACATTTTCTGCTGTCTAAAAATACATCTGTGCTGAAGAGGTCAGATATGCTACAGAGACTTTTGGCAGCTCCTCTGGTTCAGCAGGGGAGCCAGGCTAAATGTGGAACAAAAGCAGGTACACTAACTAAATATAGGGTCTCATCACATGCTTCCACGGCAACCAACAGGCCCCTATGGTTACCATGGAGACCCAGGAAGCCCATACATTAATTAGCTTGCACCAATCGGATGAACAAACCCCCTGAGAGCACTTGTGAAGCAGGATGAGTGTGAAACTATGTGGAGTGTTAGTAACGAGTGAGAAAGTGTGAGATATTCCAGCGTGAGTGAGGAAACCAGGGGATGAGTCTGTTCGCTTATATGAAGGGATTTTGACCTCATATTTGCTCTGAGCTTTGAGTGTGTCAAATGGATTTAAACTGAACAAATTATACACAAAAAATAGGGAAAATTTCCATTTACAGACACAGTTTTTAGTCAGATCAATGACCTGAAATTTAAGTTAAAATCTGAAACTATAAACCCACCTAGGACTTTTTTTTCAGTAAAACCCTAGATGTCAAACACATTTGTGCCATAACTCAAAATATAAATCTAATCTAGAGACAAGAATCCAGGAAAAATGTAGAGCTGCCTTCTTCATGGGGTTTTCTTACTGTACCAAGTCAGTCGGGGTGTAAATCACCAGTTTCATCATGATACAATATCATAGCGATTCTTTGGACAATGATACGATATTTGTATCACGAAGTCTGTGATGATACGATTTCCATTCGATCCGATTCAGGGGCCTGTGATCAATGAGACGATATCACATGATCATTTATCACAGTCTGTTATAGAAGAAGCTGCCACCTTGTTTTTTTTTAACTTTGCCATAAACAATAAAACAACACATAAATAATATAAATTATTATTGACTCCACTAACATAAAACAGAACATGGGATAAGTTGACCGTCAGGAATACCAGTACCACACTGCTGATTTATTTATTCCCCAGTAAGTAACGTTTTCTCTCGCCTGCTGCTGTTTGATGGTGACACAGAATTTCAAAATAAAGGCGTAATATAAAGGTGATGATATGGATCAGTGTTTTCGCTTTGCATCAATGATACTGGATCGCTGATCATTGAATCAATATATCGATCCACACTGATGGATCATTACACCCCTGCAAGTCCTCAAAGTTGATTTCCTGATGTGGTACATGCATGGCCAATGGCCCAGCCTGTCAGCACAGACTTACCGTTGTGGTGCGTGAGCGATCGGCTCCGGCGCTCAGCAGGACACGGACGCAGTTCAGCTGTCCAGCCTCACAGGCCAGGAAGAGGGAAGTCTGTCCCCCCGCCGCCGTCGAGTCCACAGCAGCTCCTGCAGACAGCAGCACCTCCACACAGCTGGAGGGAGGAGCAACGTTAGAAACACATGTACCAACATACATATAAATACATACATACTATACACGTACAGTTACATGTTACATTAGCTCAAATATGAAGGAGGAGAATATATATCTATTACTGGTCGATAATTAAGTTCAAATGGCTCATCCAGATCCAGTTGGTCAAAATCAGGTAAAAATTCAGTCATGACTACTCCAAACAGAGTAACTCCTCGCGTTTGTAAGCTTCAGCGGTAACTTCCTGCAACAACTCAAATCTCGCGAGACGTGAGATTTCAGAGCCAGACTTTCACTCTCTGAGTGAGTGTTTTGACTTGCCACAACAAACATGTCCGAATATTTACCCGATTTTGACCAACTGGATCTGGATGAGCCATTTGAATTTGGTGATCGCCAGTATTTATTTGAACACGGAGTACACGGACGTACACGGACGCAGAGCTCATTGAAACTTAAGAGTGGACGAGGAGAGAGAGGGAGCAGCAACAGGCAGAGGAACATGTCTGAATCCAGCTAAAGGTAAACACAGACGTTCATTTCTCCTTTCCGTTATGTTGTCAGATAATTATACTAACAATCTGAGCCTATCTGTGTGAAAAAAATGCACTTTTAGTGGACGTATTTTGACGTTGTTTGACGCTGTCTGAGTGCCCTATTATTTAATATAGCGCGCGTTCATGGGCTGCAGGCAGGTCAGCCCTAGCTTCATACTGGAGAAATGTCACATATTGAACATCCTGTCACTCATTTAGACAAAAGTAGATCTGAAAATAGGACCCAGGTTGAAAAAAAACATTAGTTCCCCTTTAATTTCCAGTGAAATCTAGCACTGCAGTATTTGCAGTCATCTTGTATGTACTGTAACTGTCATCTTTGATAATATGGTTCACATTTGTTAGTTCAATACGACGCTTTCATAACCAGGAATATTACGAAAAATGTTTTGTTTTACCAGCTCATGCACATTAATGTTATCAGGTTAATATATTTCCTAAATATTGTTATTGATTTGGATCAGGGGTCGGTAACCTTGACTATTAACAGAGCCAGTAATAAATATTTAAATAAAGGTAACAGCCTATTAAGTCTAAATGAACATTCATTAATATGATTTAAGACGAGGTGGCTCCTCTGCAGTGGGCTGTTGATAATTATTTAGTACTTTGCAGCAAATGAATCTGTCCACACATTATTAAATCCTCTATTTTCCTCCAAGACTTTTACTTTTTTAGATTTGAAATCCAGAGCTAACCATGCCAGGCAGACACCAGGCAGACACCAGGCAGACACGGCTACTTAAGTTCGGCAGAATTTAGGGGAAAAGGCTCCAGGACGTAGATGAATGACTCACATTTTAGTGAATGAAATGTTAGAACATTTTTTAATCCGATGCATAGACTACACATTTTTACAGTAGTAGAATGCAATAATCAACTTTAGACCTACAACAATGACAAATTAATATCTGAATATTAAAAAATAACGTATTATTCCCAGTTAATTTTATGTCAAAGCCACAGAGAGCCACTGGAGATGGTCTGATGAGCCGCAGGTTGCCGACCCCCATTTTAGGCATTATAAAGAAAAATAAGTAAAAGCTCATGCTCCAAAACAAATACCTGATATCACACAATACAGTAACTACACACTCACGCACACACTACAGTTGTGAGTGGGAGCACCACCTGTTCAGAGACAAGAGGAGACATCAGCCCTCCAACCAGAGAGCAGATCATCTGAGGAAAACTGAGCCCGTCTCCTGACACGAGTCTGAGTCACGACCACCGAAAAAACAGTGAACCCCATCAAATAAACTCAGTGTATGTGTGTGTACGTGTGTGTGTGTACATGTGTGTGTGTGTGTGTGTGTGTGTCAGCATGCCTTTTGGATATTCCCGCTCTATAAATAACACTGTGATCAGATATTACAACACTGCACATTCCCCAGCTGGTCCCGGGCATCGTGTTTTTGGCTCGCGCACAATCACACATATACACACATGCGCACACACACATTTCACTAAAGTTGACAGCCTCTCCTGCTGTAAGCATCAGGATCAATACGAGTGATCACAACTGACTGCTGGAGCAGAGGTCATAAATAATTAATGATGAGAGCTCAATGATAAACTCCCAATCAGCAGAGTGAAATGAGGCCGTGGTGACAGCTGACCAGTTGAGGTGAGGTGACTGTAGCTGTGGGAAATCACCCCATAAAGTTTCAGCAGTGATGCAGAGCTGGTCTCAACCTGACAGTCTATACTGTGTGTCACAAACATGCCAGCTGATCCCGGTGCGGTGACAGTACAAAGACAGCAGGCACGTTGAGCATGGTTACCGGCACTGGGCTCACGGTCGAATTTCACACATGGGAGGTTCCAGCTGTGCTCGTCTCGCAGCAGAAATATGTGTCATGAGTCATTGATTAGAAAGACATAAAAAACTGAGATGATATCAGACTCACTAACATGTTCTGTGATCTCAAGCGCCAGTGACACACGAGAGGAGAGAGGTCAAGTCCCAAAACTGAGCGTTAAGAACAGTATTAGATAACAGTTGACACTTGTCTCCACAAGGCAGTGCTTCGTTGCCAAATATTTTTCATCAATGACCTTTTTAACATGATAAAAACGAGACAATGATGAGTTAAAAATAGATCTTGATGATAAAACTAAAACAATATCAATGTTATTTTCGTTGATGAGACGTAAGGAAAATGTTAGTGGTGGACTATCGGTCATTGAAAGCTGAGAACAGCCGTGCTGATAATTATCTTCAAATGTAGCATGAGCAACAGGCTGGTAAACTCCAGTAAATAGTCTGCACCAGGATGTTTCAGTAGCCAGCAGAAACAGTCAGAGCAGAGCAGCATCAGCCGTGTGTGTCTGACTGTGGGTGGTGGAGCTGCTGAATGGATTTGTGGAGTTTGATAGTTGCAGCAGTGGCTGTTAGCAGCTAGCTCCACTCGCCACCAGCGGCCGCCGGACTTCACATCTGTTGATCCCCGCAGGACTCCACTTTTATTGAGGTAAAATACCAAACATTTCGCAGTTTAAGCTTCTCAAATGTGACGATGTGATGATATTCTCTGTTTTATAGCGTTGTAGATTAAATCTCTGTGGGTTTTGGACTGTTGGTCAGAAAAAAAAAGCAGTCTGCAGATGTCAGTTTCAGTTTGGCGTTTTGGGAGCTTATGGTTGGCATTTTTTACTATTCTGACAATTCATCATTTTATAGAATAAACAGTTAAATAATATTTAAAAACTGAAACAATTGTGGCAACAGTTCATCAGCTTGAACATTAAATATCTTGTCTGTGTACTGTATTCAGTTGAATATAGGTCAAAAAAGAATTTGGAAATCATTGCATTCTGCTTTTATTTAAGTTTTCAGGGTCGTAGATGGACTGCATTCATACAGCACTTGTCTAGTCTTAAAACACTCAAAGCGTTTTACAACTCAAGCACGATTCATACACACACACACACACACACACACACACACACACAGCAGCACATGCAAGCTCAGGAAAACACATACCCACAGTCATCGGGAGCAATATGGAGTTCAGTATCTTGCCAAAGGACACTTTGACATGTAGACTGCAGGGGCCAGTGACCTGATCACCGAACCTTCAGTTGTTAATGTTAAAGTTACGTGAGCCTCTGGGATGGAGGAGTTACAGTACAAAAGGAAGACTCTTATGAACTGACCTGCTGTGGCCGTGGGCGGCAGCAAAGTGTAAAGGTGTGAATCCATTTTCATCCGAGACATCAGCAGGCGATCCGGATGACAGCAGCAGCTTCACACACTCTGACAGAGAGAGAATGACAGAGAAAGAAGCATGATGATGTCATAGCGTGCTGTTGTACACAGTGACAGACAGGAAGTAGCTGTGAGCAGAAAGAATTCAAATATAACTAGAGCACTCGGAGAGCGCAGGCCTCTGCCAAGTAACCTTGACCTTTGACCACTTAATCTAATCAGGTCATCCTTGAGTCAAAGTGGATGTTTGTGCCTAATTTAAATAAAAAAATCCCTCGAGGCATGCTTGAGATATTACACTCACAAAATGAGATGTACATAAGATCAGAGTAACTCTGACCTTCACCTACCAAATTCAGCTTATTTTTGAGTGGATGTTTGTGCCAAATTGTAAGAAATTCCCTGAAGGTGTTTTTGAGATACCTTGTTAATCAGAATGCCACTGTTAGTGTCACTGTGACCTTGACCTTTGACCACCAAATTCCTATCTGGTCATTTTTGAGTCCAAGTGGATGTTTGTGTCAATTTGGATGACATTCCCCAAGGCATCCTTAAGACATTGCATTCACAAAATGAGTGTGACCTTGACTGGCAGTGACCTTGACTTCTGACCACCAAATTCTATCAGTTCATCTTTGAGTCTAAGTCAAAGTTTGTGCCAAATCGAAGAAATTCTCTCAAGGTGTTCTTGAGATATCACGTTTACGAGAACGAGACATATCAGGTCACAGTGACCTTGACCTTTGTTGCCAAATTCTATTCAGTTCATTGTTATGTCAAAGTCAATGTTTGTGCTAAATTCGGAAAAAAATCCCTCAAGGTGTTCTTGAGATATGAGAATGAGACATATCAGGTCACAGTGACCTTGACCTTTGACCACCAAATTCAGTGTATCTTTGAGTCCAAGTGGATGTTTGTGCCAAATTTGGCAAATACCCTCAAGGTATTCTTGAGATATCACATTCACTAAATGAGATGTCAGCAAGGTCACAGTGACCTTCAACCACCAAATTCTATCAATTCATGTTTGAGACACAGAAGAATGCTACGGACAAGGTCACAGTGACCTTGTCCTTTGACCACCTAAATCTTATCATTCCATCATTGACTCAAAGTGGATGTTTTTGTGCCAAATTCGCAAAAATCCTCTCAAGATGTTCTCAAGATATCAAGCTCACATGAATAAGACAGATTCAAGGTCGCACTGACCTTGACCTTTGAGCTATGACCACCAAAATCTAATGACTTCATCATTAAGTCCAAGTGGACATTTGTGCCAAATTTTAAGAGAATTCCCTCACGGTTTCCTTGAGAGATCGCACTTACAAGATTGGGACGTACGGAGGGACAACCTGAAAACAAAATACCACGGGCCACAGCTGTCGCCAGTGAGGAGGCATAAAAACTCCTAAAATATCTCAGAGTAAATGACCACAGACCTACACTGTACAGAGCAGAGCATAGCAACCAGATCATCTTGTTGCCATGGATACTGTAGTTAGTGTAGTAAGCATGGTACTGTTGGCAAATTACTTCAAAATCAGTTTACAGTACGACAGTATGAGAGATTTTTATGAATCATTTGGTGCAAGCTGTCATTAATGAACTTCAGAGTTTTATAGAGTCACCGTCCAGCAGCTTTATTATTAAGATCGCTTTTGTTCCACTGACTTCAGCCAGACTAAGAGGTTCCTCTCACTGGTTTTTCAGCCCCGCCTCCTTTTAAAACAACAAAGACACATCAACAATAATTGTCTTGGCTTTCCACTGCTACTTTTCCCATGAGTTTTAGCCACAGTCTTTAATCTTTGTTGAAATGACAAGCTGTCGTTTTACTCTCCACTACAACAGTACAGTATCCATTTATCTTAGAATACAGACAGAATTCCCCCCAAAAAATGTTCCAGTTTTTCAGAGACACTGATGAAAGAAACATGAGAAATAACACTGAACATTAAAAGCCAGTGGAACAAAACAGAAGTGGGGCAGGAGGACGTCAGCGCTCTGTAGGTAACGTGACATCAGCCTACACAAAAATAGTTTCATACACATTATGTGTCACTGCACGGCACGGCAGGAGCCACCAGATCAACACTACAGAATTAATACAGAGTGAACTTGGCACTTTCTTTACTTCTTTCTTTATCTACTGCATGTTACTCGATATATGTGTGTGTGTTCTCGTTGGTGCTTTACTGTCAACATTTTGCACATATTCTCACATCAGGCACTCAAACATCTGTGTGTGGTTTAAACGCTGACAAATCTGAAGAAAGAGGGGATCAGCGGAGAAGGAAAACTCTTGGGAAAAGCAGAGGACAATGAAATATTGATGGGAGGAAGACGTCTGTGTGTGTATGTGTGTGTGTGTGTGTCCTCTCTGTGTAGGTCCACCTATAATCCCTCAGCACAGCTGTCCTTCAGCTGCATTAGTCGTGTTCATGGATCAACGCTCCGCGGCTGACAGACTGTTACTAAACATCTCAGCAGGAGGGAAGATCCTGATAGACCTGTGGTGTGTATGTGTGTGTGTAAACAGGTCTGCATGCATGAATTATTCTGTGTGTGCTCCTCTATGTACGGCACCGCCGGTGTGTGTCAGCTGAATGAAGCATGTAGTCTGCATTCATGCTGATGTTACAGCCCTGACATGACGGTCCGTCTCATCTAATGGCAGCCAACACAATGGGATCAGCCGCCGCTCGCACAATTACTGACTTTACAGCATCATGTGGAGAGTGTTTATCAGCAGCACTGCGTCTTTGTCTTCTCACTGCATCGTCATTGAGCTGGCCAGGTAACAGGGAGGCCACAGTGAGGAGATTTTCCAGCTTGTGACAACACCAATGTTAGTCAGTATGTTTACATGACATCAGAGAAAATCGATGGATGGATTAGCAAACTGTTTCAAAGAGACAGCACGTCATACTCTGAAAACCCCGCCCACCAGAGGGGAAAACGATCAGCACCGCAATATGCAACTTAGGGCTGAAACGCTAACAAAATGGCTGTAGCTAGCTGAAAACATTAGATCACAGCATGTCAGGATTATTCTGGCACGTTACGTCTACCACAGAGGACACGTTACTTTGACAGTCTTAATACTGTTGGTCTACCTCAGTCAGTACGTTTACATGACATCAGAGAAAATTGATTTATTGTGTCAGTCCAGCTAAAACTGGACCTTTAAAATCCATTTCAACATGTTTGTCTGACTGAAATCGTACTAATCAAATTGCTCAAAGTCGGAATAACACACCCAGATAATGTGACTGGGAGTCGAATTCCTCCTGCATGTATACAGTCAATCGGACCCAAACTGGCCGAGGCGCTCCGAGCATGTTCCAGTGTCCACCCCAAGTAACAGAAGAAGAAGCCGGTAACAACATGGAGAAATCTACATCCAGAGCTGTGACCTTTTGGACGGACCAAATGTACAGAGCTGTAAAGTTGTCCACCATGGTACCAGTTAGCTGCTAGCTAACCGTAGCTAACTTGTTTGTCCATTGTTTGGTCTGTGACAGAATAGGTCAACCCTACAGCCTTCACCTTGGCCCTACCGCTAGATTTGCTTGTTCCCGCAAGGGGTAGGGGTGTCCCAATTCCTTTTTGCGTGTAGGGGTAGGATAGGGGGCATAACGAGGGGTAGTGGGTATGAAACTAGCTCTTCGGAGCGAGGGATTTCAGATGTTGACTTGCCAGCTAGGGGTAGACGTCGCCATGGCTACCACCGAGTATGAGACGGGGGAAAAAAGTTCATACAAGTATGTATAATTTCGCAAGTAAACATGGAACTTCTGTAAAAATGTTTCTGAATAACTGTGTATTCATGTAGAGAACGGTGTAACAATTTTTTATTGCTTTTCACAATGTCTAGATTGGAGTTGACAGAAAGCTAGCCAGCTAGCTAACGTTACCGTTGTCAGGTTGCTTGTTAGCTAGCTAGCTAGCTAGCTCGCACTATCTGGCGTCTGTCATCTGTCCTGTTCTGCAAAATTGTCGGATTTTTCACATTATGATAACACGCCAGCTAGTAGAACTATGCTGCCTCGTAATCTTAGCTGGATAGCTAGCTAGCTAGCAGAAGTCCCCTCTCGTACATATCATTTCATTGTCTGTCGTTCATCAAACGAAGCATAATGAATACAGCAAACACGATTGGTAGGATGAACTCAACTGGAGATTCCACTGTAGATGCCAGTTTGAAATGTAGATGGCTCGCGGCTTCCTGTTTAAAATAGTTCCTTATGCGTGAATGTAACTGACGCAGTGACGTAGGGAAAGATTTCAACCCTGACCCCTCGTTGCTTCATTTCAAGGGCTGAGGGGTAGTGGACAAGGAGGGGTATTGGGATTGGGCCCACATTACCCCTGTCCTTCATAACCTCCAGCTCCCCATCCCTCAGCGTATCCACTTCAAAATCCTCATCATCACTTACAAAGCTCTCCACAACCTGTCTGAGCTCCTCCACCGGCACACTCCCTCCCACGCTCTCAGGTCTGCTGATGCAAACCTACTACTGATTTTCAATACCGTCCCAAGTGGTGGTGGTGGGGGGGGGGGTAACGTAAACAGCAGCAACAGGTGGAGACTGCAGGGAAAAAACAGCATATTTACACATCACACTAATACCATCATATACCGTACACCCCTGTAAGATTTCAGGAATATATGAAGGTATGAAAAATTAGATACCGCCCACGCCTGACTGGCTCTAATGCTGTTGCTGGAACTACACACTGTGCTCTCTCATTTTCGTATGTGTTGATAAGAAAAAAATTTGCAAAAGCAAAACAGCGATGGGCAAACAATATAATAACCAGTGACACCAACTACTGCATCAATCCTACAAAGTAACTGACTGGCAGTGCTACTGAATGCTAAATCTTTAGTAATAATGTGTTGTATTATATATTGCCACTGAACCAAGTTGTGACTTTTCCATACTACTTTCCATACTTAATGCATGTACTATATCTGATGCTGAACCTTTACAGACCCTCAGCTTGAATTCCCTTCACCAAAGCCAAAGCCTGTGCTACCAGTCAAGCTGCACGCAGGAGATATTTTATTCAAAGTGACAACAAACTGAACATTAGCATCTCATTTTCTTCTCGCTAAAGGCCAACAAAAGCACAAAGTCGTGTTTCATTTAGCTGAAATCACATCGTGTTTCTGCAGACGCTGTGAGCTGCGGTAAGAAAGCAGGTGGCAGGGAGGTTTTGTGGTTCGAATCTTTCTTAAAAGCAGAAAATGTCAGGTTTGATGTCTGGAACATTTAAGTCATGTTCCCTCTGAGGGTTTCTTCTGCAGGATAATCGACGCTGTAACTCACTGTGAGTGAAAAAGGGCAACAACTGTACTGAAAGGCACATTGTGTCCAGTCTCTTATCAAACTAAACATTCATTTAAAGTCAATTGAGCAACTTCCTCTTCCTCAGCAATGATCTGCTTTATATTTATGCAGTTATATAAAGTCAAACCTGAGAAAAGAACTATCTATACGGCCTTTTCAAAAGCCACTCTGATGGCTGAGGGGAAATGCATTATCTCAGTTATGTTTACAGCTGCTAATTCAAACTCTGGAGCCTATAAACTGTTTGTGCAGCTTAGAGAAATAAACATTAATCTCATATAGCACCTAAGAGAACTGAGGGTTTGTGGAAACACACATCGCACTGAATTAAGCGAATGACACCAGAAAGGTTTAACATGTAGAGCAGATGGATGCCGTCTTCAGATTGCAGTAATAAATGTTTAAGGAAACTCATCACTTTTTAGAATCTAACAGAGGAAAACAACTTCTTATTCAATAGTAGTTTTTCTAGCATATATTCACTAATTTTAGGAGGTTTATATTGGCAGAAATGGAATATAATCTATAAGAATGTTTCCTTTGGTGTTTAATCACCAGAAAATAAGAATCATTGTGTTTTCGTTGTCTTAGAATGAGACGTTTATATCTACACAGGGAGCAGGTCCGTTGCACCGCCATGTTTCTACAGTAGCCCAGAAAAGACAAACCAAACACTTGCTCTCAAAAGGAACATTCAAGTTTTCACATCAGCCACCATAATTAGCAGACCTTCTGTGACGAGAGCATCAGATAAGCACCACTTTTTTTTAACCTGAAACTGCTTTATTCAGTGTTTTTAGTGGTTTTAATTGCAAAGAGGCCTCTGTGGACTATTCGGCTTCCGGTAAAAACCTCCCAAACAACGAACACTGAGAAAATTTTGACCAGGAGAAGTTTAGCTGGTTGCAATCTGCAATCCTCACCACTCGATTCCAAAAAATCCCAGTAAATCTTACACAAACAAGAGTAAATTTACTGAATGCAGAGGAGGGCTGCAGCGGAGTGTCGGTTTCAAGATATAGAGTGGTATGAAAATTGACAGTTACCTATGTAAAATAAAACACAATTGGATGGAGAATCTTAACTTGACTTAAGTAATTTTCAAAAGAGAAACTTTTTCACATACTGTTTTAAGTTTTAATTATAGTAAAAATAACCTCTCTGTCTTCATCCTTTAACCGTCATTCTGACTGATAATAATAATCATAATTCTGCTGTAAGATCTTACACCGTTACAACCCTTCTGCAGAGCACATTTGTTCCTTTCTCTCTTTTCATCTCATATGCAATCGTTTGTGTGTACAACATGCTGCATATCTTATTTATTATTTATAGACTGACTTTATAATCTTAATCTCACATGTTCTCTAAAGGAATGCATCATATACAGTATTTAATTTATATCTGCCACGCTCACAGAACAATCAATCCTGTGTGAAGCCTTTGTGTTTGTGTTCTGGTGTATCACTCTCTCTCCATCAATCAATATGAATCAATAAAAGCCTCGGGGTGTTCCTTTAAGACTACTCTTTAGAAATCAATCAATCATGCAGCCAACCGCTGACCAAAAATACACAGACAGGGTTTCAGTTCCCACCGGGTTCACCTACATTTTAAAATGTACTGTACATGCAGTACAAGCAGCGGCTAATATTTCTGTACATGCACATGGAAGAGGTTTGCCTTCAAGATCATCTGCTAGAAATCCCTGGAGTCAGAATATCCTTTTAATTTTAACCCAATGACTCCAAGGCACTTATTATTCACTTAAGTATTTCCATTTTTTGCTACTCTATACTTCTAATCCACTACATTTGTTTGATAACTTTATTCACTTTGTGGATTGTGATTAATAATACCAAATATAATCAACAAAGAAATTATGATGTTTTTGTTATTGGTTTTAATTTCCCCTATGGAGGCATCAACAATTATGAGCTAATAATACATAATACTGTGAAGTTCTCCATAATGAGTAACCTACATTTACTTTGGTACTTAAAGTTTATTTTGATGCTGATGCCTGAGAATTTTCACTTAAGGACACAGAGTGTCTTCACACATTGATTGACTTGCAGCCTGCCACGATTAAAACATCTGCCACCACATAGATTTTGTATTGAAGGAGCTGGAGTGCTTATTAGGAGCACTATAGGTACACATATAAGCTGTTTGGTTATTTATAGCACCTCACTGTTGGAGCACAGAGGGCACTCAGGGCACAGACAGAGCAGCAGAATGTCAGGCGCATTGAAAGTAAGATTTAAACATTCACTCTGCTGGGTCTATAAGTTTGCATTCACTTGCAGCAGCTGCTCCTCTGATCCATCGACCCGATCTGATCTGAATGTATAGATCGATCAATTATACACCCCGTGAGTCAGAAACTGCTGCTGAGAAAAAAATGAACTCATGGAGAGCTCCACCTGGGCTGCGTTTACCGACTCCAAATTTAGAAACGAGACACAGAATGATACAAAGGGACAAACATGCATTTAAAAAACAAAAACACATACACTCAAATTCTGTGGGAAACACTGTTCTACACTGTGATATTGTTTGATTCTGTGATTCTTTTTGTTTTTCAGGTAATCAAACTCCTCCCCTATAGTTTCCCTCGTAATCTCTGGCACCTGCTGGGTGGTCTTTAAAAGTCCAAACAAGCTCCATCCACTCTCTCTCTTCCACCATGCAGCCTGGGCCAGCTGCATTGTCACACCAGCCTCCATTTTCAGCTTTTGGTTATCCTTTGTTTCCTTTTTGTGCAATAAATGTTACTTTAACTGCTACACACGTTGTCTGACTCCTCTATGTTGAGCCTGGGTCTTAACAGATATTGATACCTTTACTTAAGTTAAAGATCAGAGTAGTTCAACCACAACTGCATTTTGTAGGAAATACTCTAGACTTGCACCTATTTATCAGCAGTGCTCGTAATCGGGCCGGTTTTCACGTGATCGGCCATGATCTGCGACTGGCTGGTCAGTCTAAAATATGCCGATTTAAAACACCGGTTAAATTCCCGGCACGCCGCATGATTGACATTGTGTAACATGAGCAGCGCATGCACACACGCACATGTGCAACTCAGGCTTGGGCAATGTGAGGAAGTGAAACATGGGCGGCTTCTCACCTTAATCATTCATGCACACACACCAAAGAGAGAAGAAGAAAGTTGTTAATTGTCCGTGTTAAACTGAACTGCGGAGCTCTCACTGCTGCACTGTGCCGCTTGAAACTGACTAGGCTCGCGTGCTGAAGATGCGCGTGTCCACACGCTTACTGGCGGGCGCGTCCTGAAAAACCTGTGTGAATTTTCCACAGGAGATATTTTTACTTTTTTGTCTATTCAAGAAATTACCCACAAACGCTATACACCAAGAATTATTATTTTATTTATCTATGTTTTAATTTATATATGCCTTTTTTACTTATTTATTTTAATACTGTACCTGAAGTTATATTTGAGCAAAAAGGAAAATGTTTCTTAACAGGTAAAGAAACGTGTCACTGTTTTTGTTTGTTTGTTTGTTTGAGATGATTATTGAAAAGCTGGTTGTATCTTGGTTAAAATGTTCTAATAAAGCAAAGATATAAAATATTGCAATATCTTGTGTGCTGTAAAGTGGTTTGAAAAAATGAAATCATAATCAGCCAAAATCAGAATCGGCCATCCAAACACTCTGCAAATTGGAAATCGGTATCGGCCCAAAAAATTGTAATCGGTGCAAGTCTAAAATACTCCTTTCATCTGAACCCAAACCATGATCACTTTTCTTAAAGCTCACCAAGAAAAGTTTTTCTGGCAGAAAGCCCTGAAAGCAGACTACTCCCAACACCTAAAAAAAAAATCAATAACAGCCTAAGTGTACGCTACATTGGGAGTATTTTCACCGCCTTACCATTCCATCAGACAGCCTGTTTCTACAGTTCCCTATCTTTGTTCTTTTCATAGCCACCAAAACCCAACGAGAAAAACAATAATCTAAGCTTGCTGAAAACAGGAGCTGCTGGTCTACTGCTGCTTCCATCAGTTAGTTAGTTTGCGTTACTGTGGGACTTTGGTGAATCCGAACTAACCCTTTAAAACACCAAAGCCACACAATAACACAAACACAATAACTGGTCGAGGCAGCAGTAGACCAGCAGCTCCTGTGTTCAGCAAAGTTAAATCACTGATTTTCTCAATGGAGTCTGGCTTTGAAGGGAGTGACGTAACAGAGTGACATTAAGGTAAAGCAGTGACAATATTCTTAATACAGCATACACTGATATTGATTTTTTTAGCTGGCTTATATATGTTTTGTTGCTGACTCGTCCACAGCAGCACATTGCTTAGTTTCTATGTTGGACTCATGCCCGCTTCTCCAAACTGCGGTGGTGCCGACTGACATCTACTGTATGTAATACACTGACTATGGATAAGTAGCCCATAGAACCCCACTTCAACAAAACTGTACTATCCCTATAAGACAATGGGATGGCAGCAATCCTTTGTCCTCCTCCTGCTTCATCAATACCTGCAGAACCTTTCATTTAATCACTTAAATGTAAACCAGTAAAACCAGTATTGATGAATCAAACGTCAGTTACCTGTGTGTCCGTTCTGAGCAGCAGCAAACAAGGCAGAGGTTTGGTGGTGGTTGTGGTAGAGGTGGTGGTCTTGGTCAAGATGATTGGGCTTGTCTTCCATGGCGGATGTAGAGGTGGAGGTGGCGGTAGAGGTGGTGTTGGTGGATGTGGAGGTGGTAGTGGTGGTGGTGGTGGTGATGGTGGTCGGGTCTGGTTGGTTAAGCAGCATTGACAATAAAGTGACATTTCCCTGGGAAGCAGCTTGGGGGAGCAGGGGGCGCCCGCCGTCCAGGGCAGCAGGCCCTCCGCCGCTTAGAGAGGAGACTACGGAGGGACACCAGCCTGCAGGGGGGAAGCAGGAGCAGGAGCAGCACAGGTTAAACTAGGAAGAGGAAGAGCAGGAGGAAGAGGAAGCTTCTAGAAGTGCTGAGTGTGGGAGAGCGAGGGTGTAAGAAGGTGGACGGTTTGGGAGGGGGGGAGAGCACACTTCAGTTCCACACATACTGTAGTACAGTCTCTTTTGTCTGAGCGGCAGGCAGGAGGTAAGAGACGTAGTTAAACACTCCCAGTGAGTACAAGCTCATGTTGTGCAGCCAAACACTGTTCAAACGCCAAAATCTTTTGTCAAACTCTAGTGGAGATCCCACAGTTCCAAAGACACCAGATATGTGACGCTGAATTTGGGGAGAGTGTTTTATAAAATGAGACAAAGGATATCTACAATATTTACACATGACTGAATGGAGCAGCCCTAAAAAAGAATGAGTTCTGGGTTTGATCTTAAACAGCATATAGCTGTGATAAAGAGCTAGAGATAGATGATACAGAATTTACTACACACAGTATAATATATTAAGAAAAAACAAAAGACGTAAAGTCTCAAAAATGTTTGTGAATTTTCTAAAGACGATGTTCACGTCTGCAAAAACACATAACTCTAGTAACACAAGACAAAAGCCGTCATATGTCGACAGTAGTCATGTCAATTCGGCATCAATATAATTCATGAAGATGAACTGTATTTGCATACAAAATTTACATTTTGGATTTTGATGCATCAACACGCCACCAGCCTCTGTTGGTTAGCTGAGCTATTTTAAAGGTTGGAGACCAGGGGAGTGAGACAAGAAGGAGGTTTCAAAAATTAGGATTTCTTTTTAAAATTTTTTCACACTACAAGCGAACCGCACCAGAGTCTGTTTGGAAGCGGACTGAGGGTGCTTTCACACCTGCCCTGTTTGGTTCAGTTCAATCAAACTCAAGTACGTTTGCCCCCTCAGTGCGGTTCGTTTGGGCAGCTGTGAACACAGCAATCACACTCAGGTGTGCACCAAAACAACTGGACCTAGACCTCCTTGAAGAGGTGGTCTCAGTCCGGTTACAAACAAACTCTGGTGCTGTTTGTTTGTGGTGAGAACGTGTTGAATATGAGTCCCTGATTCAGACCAAAGGCGACAACTCTAGGTCTGAAAGCACCCTGAGACCAACTTTTCGAGTGGCCTTCATTTGGTTGTTTGGTCCGCACCAGGGTTCAACTGATGGCTTTCACACCAGTCCAAACGAATCGTACCAACAAATGGACCTGAGTTTGTTTTTACCGACCCAAACAGGTAAGGTGTGAGAGCACCCTAAGCTATCTAGCAAAGGCTAAACTAACTGACTAACTTTACGTGCCTTTCAGCAGGACACTGACCAGACAAAACATCCAAGAACATGTGAACTGCTATGTTTGTAAAGGTGGGTACACTTATTTCAGCTCGTCACCAGAGATAGTCAAATATTGGACCTCTAAAAGAAGCCACCCAGCTGGTTTCTGCTGCTGCCGGCCTAAAGCGATCCTGGGCTAAATCCCATGTGGTGGTTAGTTGTGTTATAAACACATCAGCAGGATTATGGGAGGATTATGGGGGAAAACAGGTAGACAGGTAAAGTGACATACTGAGGTTTTGTTTCAGCCTGAGCTGGAACTCATCCAGCAAACGGTGTACGGTTAAAGCTCCTCTCCTTTCATTCAGCCAGGGGGGAGATTATCTCTCCATTCAGATCTGCTGCTGCTGGAAATATCCTCTTTAACCAAAACTCTGGCACAATGTCAAGTGAAGCCTGGAAAAATACCTGAACTACAACTCATTACCTTTTTATTTAACCTCCTAAAACCTCCTTAAATATCTTTTAAATGTTTAGTTTTTACAGATTCAGAAGAATAACCTTTTTTTAATCATACAGAAAAATGCTGCTTATATTGCATTTACGATTCACACTCGTAAAGCCATGTTTTTATGGCGACTATTCAACAGAAATATTTCATGTATCTTGTTTATTATTTTATACACATTTCCGTGAAATTCATTGCATCATTGGACACTCTGGGATCACCACTGGTATAAAAAAAAATCAAAAACCTCTGTCTGAATAATTCTTTGCAGCACAACAAAAGCTTCCAAAAATTAACCCACTGGGGGGTCTGACAGATTTTAAATGTTAATGGTAATTTCCTCTTAACTGCTCTTTACTGCTACAGTGTTAAATCTGCTTTAAGTGAATGAGAACAGTCTGGAGTTTTAGAACAGAACAAAACATCCCAAACAGAAGCAAGATGTTCACTGTCATGCTGCGTTTCATAAAAGCCAGGATTTTTAGATTATTTTATTAGGGATGCACCAATCGGATTTGGCCGAAATTCTCCTTGGTGACTGCCATCGGCCTATCTGCAAATAAGATGACATTCACCGATGGCAGTGGCCGATGTTTGTCTGTTGTGTCACATTTGTTTTGAGCAGGCTAAAAAGCAGGGCTCAGGACTAACAGTGTCCCGTCATCCCAGGGACAACAGAAGTCAGAGATCTTCTCTGGAATGCCTTCGGAGCAAACTCACTCTCAATGTGCCATGGGATGCACTTTCCTTTAAGATGCCTCATTGTGAATAAAAAACATCGACATCAGCAGGAGGAGAACTAGTTAATGTTAGCTGTTAGCTGTTAGCAGGGGGTGGCCAGAACCACAGACTGTCTATAACAATGGACGTAGCTACCATGACATCAACCACTGGTTTGTGAGCTCCGGTTTTGAAGCCTTGAGTTCAGCTGTCACCATTTTGTTTGTTTGAAGCGACCAGATTTGGGCACGACCGTGGAGCTGAGGAAGAGCGAGGGGTGGATCCCACACGCCTCACAGACAGCGTGCTACTCAAAGCGGCCTGCCCTTATTTCTGCGTAACTTTTGGCCTTAATAAAATGTAACAGATGAGTTGTATAAAAACTCACCCCCCGTACAGTTGTCATGAATGTCGAATTTAGCTATAGAGACCAAACTGTTTTTGCACCAGGCTGTAAACATGTTTATTTCTGCTGTAAAGTTTTAACATGGGGGTCTATGGGGACTGACTCACTCTTGGAGGCAGCCTCTAGTGGACATTAGAGGAACTGCAGTTTTTGGCACTTCAGCCCTGCATTTTGTCGCTTTGCCAGAACTAACAACTCACGGAGGTCGCATTGAGTTAAAATATGACGCGTTCAAGCTTTATTCAGTAAAAATGAGTATTAGGGCGAAAGTACATTATAACATCATCATGATGTTGTAGTCTTGTAAAATGTAATTTTTGTTAAGACACTTGAATAAATCCAGCAAAAACAAGAAAATTAGTTTAAAAAAGGAGGTTAAAAACAAACAAGAAAATGACCCGCAAATAGTGCTAAAAAAATTATAATAATACATAGTATCGTAACATGAATTTAATAATTTTTTTCCCTGTTTTATTTTGTTTTGTTGCTCACTGCCTGTTTCCCCATGTTTTTGAAGGGAATCACACCAACTAGCTCAGGGTTCAAAGGTTTAAATACTTGAAAAAGGCATCTGAAAGCAGCACAAGAAAGTGATGCCACTCCAGGATGCAAAGGGTTAAACTGAAGAGTTCTTTGTTTACTGTCACTTAAGGGGGAATAAATAACATAACACAAGATAAAAACTGTATTGGCTATCAGCCATTTTGTTATTTTAAACGGTGCATCCCTATATTTTATTATTCTTTATATACATTCTGTACTGTCATAACAGATCATATTTGTTGTTTATGTATTTGTTAACTTAGGATTATGCAGAGTTTCCAGGCGTTTCTCATGATGCAGGAACCCTCTAATAAAGTGTCTGATTTAATCAACATGTGATGCACACTGCAGCCTGGACAAAAGAGTCTGTCATCGCATCAGATTAAGGGCGACATGATGGATAGCATTCATCTTTCAGTACAGTCAGTCACCCGCAGCATTCACACAGGACAAACAGAAACACACATTATTTAGTTGGAGACTGTTGCAGTTAAACAGCATTATTTCAAATGATTAAACACGACAAACAGATGCGGTGAAGAACAGAAATACAGACATCATTACTAAACCAAACAGCTTTGCTAAAACTACAAACTAAACATGCTAAAAGCTAAAGATGCTACATTAAACCATGGTTTTATATGTCTGTTCAGACCTGGGAGGGTGAAAAATGAGTTAGAATAAAAGAAAAATTGAGAATTTCAGTGCAGAAATTCGTCTCACAGACCGAAGACAGATACAAAAGAGACGGAAGAAAAAGTGCAGCAGAGATTGTCAAGGACACAGATAATGGCAGCTGTTATGGTTGCACTTCCTGTCTGTCAGTGGGTGGCAGCGGTGTGGGAAAAAAAATGGTAAGAGTTACAAAAACATATCAGTCTGCTGACAGTTGAGCCGGCGGACCTGCTCCGAAACTGTGATGAATTAGACTGGGAAGAAGCAGAATCCTCCAGAACTCCTTCAGAGCTTTATCAGGTTTGTAAGAGGAAGATGTTACAATCAGGTGAAACCGATTGGTGGTGTTAGCAATATTCTTACTTGAGATCAGTGTGCGGTCACCAACATATTATTATTTTAGTCTCACAGAGGATTTAATCTAAACTTTAGATATCGGTGGAAAACACCTGGAGGGCAGCTCTCCTCTCAGGCGGCCGATGTTTTCATTGACGGCCACATCAGCTGATCTGAGGACTTTATCAGAGGATTAATAAGCATTCTACAAAAACAAGATATAACTGTTAAGTATTTTTTAAGTTCTAATGGAGTGACACGTCCTTAATGATTTGTTTTCTAAGTGAATTCGGATCTTTTGTTTTCTGTTAAGCACTTGGTGATGTGATGAAAGAGCAGTTTCATATTTTTCAATCGAGACACAACTGCATGCAAAAGAACACGAACGTCAACAATGCAAATGTATTTTGCATTTGACAGGAACATCTCAGGATAATTCCAGTTTATTACAACTTTTTTTTCTTTTTTGTTCTCTTTGGTTTTGTCATCGTGTCTTTTACATATGATACCTGCAAACTCAGCAGCGTTACTGACAAGAAGACCACTGAGCAACGACCCTCAGCAGCCGGACAATCGGAGAGGTTTTTAACAAGCCGACAGTTAAAGTTCAAAGTAACTTTCACAAATACAACTTCTTGTCGTATCACTACATCCTTGTGCTTTTAATAGCATTTGCTAGAATCCATAGCGACTCACAGACAACCAATCAGAGCTGAGGAGACGCTAACACAGCTGTCGATCACTGTTCATGAACTGCGATCAAAATGTCAAACAAAGGAAAAAGATTTGCAGTTTGTGTAATATTTTAACATTTAAATCACTATTATCAAGCCGCAGTTCCTTTTACTTTGAAAGTCAATGACACATACATGTGTTTTCACATACAGTTCTTTTAAACAAATCGAACTCAGTCCTCTTAAAGTGCACCAAAAAGTGTACCAACAGAAAAGGGACTGTCTGGTCAACTTCAGCTTTGACAGGGCCTCAGTCCTCTTTCTGTTCACACTATATATAAGATATATTGACATAGTGCAACCCAGGTCAACAACGTGATCGAGCTGAGTCGCTGCTCTGAGTCTGCTTAGAGGGCTGAAAAGTGTGAAAACAACCTAAGACCTTGGACAGTTTCCGCCACCTGCATTAAAGATAACTGACAAGTTTCACAACAATCGGCGGACGCTCCTTAACTTACGATCAAATTTGTGCCATCAGCCCTTATTGATCAACTGAGGAAACATTTTGGGGACATTCCTCACCAGCTTCATTAAGAGTATCCACTGAGTCTGGGGATGTTTGAACAAACCGTCATTGATTTATGGCCAATGTTTACACCAGGCCAGTTCACTTATTTGAAACAGGCAGCACCACCTGTTGAGCGATTTCTAAACACTTGGTTTAACGCGTCAGAAATGAAGGCCAAAACGGTGGAAATAAGTTGTAATAAACAAAACAATCAAGCACATCACAAAGTAAAAATTAAAGCTGACATTTATATCAACATTACACAGAGCCGTCAGCGACAGGAGGCCGGTGGGGCGGGTTAATGGGAGCTGAAACAGGAAGTGGTGCAGGAAGTAGAGGATGGCATGCTACTGGAGGATGGAAAAGGGAAGGGGAGGAGAGAGCAGCCTCTGGCATCAGCTTCAGAGAGGACAGGGGTTACTGGTGGGAAGACCAATCTGAATACAGGAGAGGGGGAAACGTCTGCTTCGCCTCAATTCACCCTGACACACTCCTTCTGCTGCAGGACGGCTAACGTCTGAGTCTCTGAGCAAGAGTCAGACACATGTTAGCAAACATGTTGTCGCTGCTGATACTGACACGGTCAGGGCTAACGTGACAACACGGGAGATGAAAGGTGCTCAGAGGGAGGACATATTAAGGGCAGAGAAGGAGGGATGAGTGGAGAGAGGATGCAGAGAGGTAATTTAGGGTTCAGGGATAGAGTCAGTGGCATAGACTGAATTGACTCCTGTGCTATTCTGCATTCCTGTGGTTAGACCAGTTTAACTGTGACCTGATTGCTATGCTATGCTAAGATAGGCTAAGCTATGCTAGGCTAGTGCCGTGGAAAGACAGTTGAAGAGAAGAGGCAGTGGGGAGAACTGGAGGGAGATGGAGCATGAAGGAGCCCCGTTACCTGATGCTGTTGCCAGGGGGCTGCCTGCTGAGGCTCGGGGGCTACGGGAGGATGAGGCACTAATGGAGGAGGAGGTGGAGGGGGGGTTTATGGAGGAGGGGCTACTGACAGTGGTGGCAGGGCTGATGACGGGGGGGCACTCTGCACATGCTGCTGCCGGCTGACGCTGAGGGCCCCGGCCAGGCTCCGGGGAGCGGGAGGGGGGGCAGGCACCCACCTGAGAGGCTGTCAGGGCTGGGACCAGGTCCAGGGCGGGTTTGGGTGGCAGCTGGGGCGTGGCCGGTTTCAGCCCGGCCCCAGGGGAGCGGCTGCTGTCCCCCACCACCTTGATGGGTGGGTGAGGAGGAGAGGGGGTCTGAGAAAGCCCTGGCTTTTTGGGAGGGATAGGGGGAGGGTTTCCCCGGTCGATCCTGGCCACCGTGGGCGACTTGATGCCGATGGGATGGCTCAGGCGGCCGGGAAAAGGGCCTCCCTCTGAGGCGGAGTGGGGCAGGCCTGGACGCAGGGGTCCACCACCTGCTGGAGGACTGGTGAAGCGTGAAAGGACCTGTGTGACGGTGTGGCGTGCTTGCTGCTTGGCGGCAAAGTTGTCACGGTTGGTGGGGGAGAGGTCACGGGCCGGAGGACTCTGGGACGCCGTGCCGTTTTGGTCCTGTTCCTGGAACTTGTAGCGGGCCGCCTGGACACGGGGGCTGACTCCACTGGGTAAGCCGTGGGGGCCTTGGCCCTCTGAGCCATTCTCTGTCTGTGCCAGTCCTCCTGAGCTGCTGTGGACGATCCCTCGTCCACTCGTCTTTGGCAGACTCAGGCCCACGTAGTTGGAGGGCGTTGGTTTGACGGGTATAGTGAGGGGGTTCTTCTTGGGACCCTCCACCTCAGTGGGGGGCAGGTCCGTTTGGCAAGACGCTGTTCGAGAGCTGATGGGCTCTGTGGCTACGGAAACAGACGTCAGAGCTTTAGGTTTGGGTGGTGTGCTGGTGGCAGCAGCAGGTTCTGCTCCGGCAGCAGCAGGCTGGGCGACAGTGGCGCCATCCTTCCCATCGCCCTGTTCAGTCCTGAGCTGCTCCACCTGCTGCCGCAGACTGTGGCTCTCGACCTCCTCGCGGCCCAGCCTGGCACGCAGCTGTTCCCGCTCTGTGTCAAACTCCGACAGCTGCTTCTCCATCTTGGCCTCCATCTGTTGGCTACGCTGCCGCTCGCTGCTCAGCTCGTCCTGCAGCCGGCCAGAGGTGCGACTCTCCTCGTCCAGGCGAGCCTGGAGCTCGTCAAAGCGCTGCGACTCCTCCACCACCCGCGTGGCGAGCTGCTTGCACTCACGCACCAACATCATGACGATGTGCTTGTTCTTCTCTCGCTCGTCCTTCAGCTGCGCCGTCAGCTTGCGGTGCTCCTGCTCCAGACTCTGCAGCTGCAGCTTCTCCATCTCCAGCTGGAAGGAAAAAAAACACAAAGTCAGGGGACAGTGAATCTATGCAACATTTCACAGAGACGTAGAAAAACAGTTACCAAGAGATTATAACATGGGATTACATATCTGAGTTGGGCTTGGCAGCTCTACACAAAAGACACAGCATTTATCTAATGCTAAAATGATTAGTCAATTAATCAACTAAAGGTCAACACAAAGGTCAACAATTTTCTTCACTGAATTAATGAGATCTGTCTTTTTCAGAGCTCATCTCCACCCATCACCCTCCTCTGCTAAAACTTTGATTCACGCCTTCATCACATCCAGAATTAAACTAGTGCAATAGCATTCTTCATGGTAAAACATCCAAAGTCCTAAACACGGTCGAATACATCCAGAGCTCCTGTAATCACATCACCTCTGTCCTCCAGAACCCTCACTGGCTCCCAGTGATTCCAGTTCAAAGTACCTCTCCTTACTCACAAAGCCCTTCTTAACCTGACCCCCTCCTCCGTCACCGTCCTGCCTCAGAGCTTTCTCCACAATTAAAATTAATCAAAATAAAATAAAATAAAATGTCTTATCATTATTAAAATCATTCACAGGTAAAAACACTTGTCTGTTTGAGCTTCTTAAACTTGAAGACTTGCAATTTTTCTGTTTTATATCACTGCAATCTGATTCTTCTATCACTATCACCTAATATCACCTCAGACTGCACACACTGTACACGCTGCACGAGCCTCACACGCATGTCAAACATCCAATATCTCCCACCGACATGTTTCACATATCACGTATCATGTCAGCTGTCTCACCGACAACCCATCTGTGACATACTGCCTGTCGACATCACGTGCATCCTGACGATATCATCCATCACCTGAATAACACCCAACATTTTTTCGGTACAAAATCAGTGTTTGTAATTGAGGATTAGATCTAAAATGCATCTGCGTACATTCTGTGTTAATGCAACCGCCCAAATTTGAAGTCATTCGTTAAACACAAAGCTAAATTGAGCTGGAAACGATTTTCTCTAGAAGAGCATAGATGATCCAGATTAATCAAATGAGCCACACAAAACAGACGGGCAGAATAAATGGATGAGCAGATATTTACACAAATAGATGCACACAATAAATCTACAGGGTGGCTTGGGGAAAGAGTCTAATTTATCTATTCAGAGGGACACAGCATCTCTCACATACGCTTGAATTTCGATGACTTGTCAAAGCCCAGGCCTCTATATCTGGAGCGTGGCTGCTATTGTTAGCTCAGAGCTGGCTTCACAGAGGGTAACAAGGCTTAACCGGGGCTCCTCAACCGATTGCCAAGACCCCATCACTCTAACAAGCCTCAAACAAAAGAGTCGACACCCCGCCACCCCTGTCCTCAAAACGAGCCCCCCTCCTCTGTCCATTCCACGTCCTCCTCCTCCTCCACAATCCATCAGGGAGCAGATATCACCACCAGCTGATGCTGAGGAGGAGCGAGGGGTTCATAAGCAAGTGGGAGCGCCGAGGGAGCGCCACTCGTTACTCAAAAGGAGGTGCTACGACTAGCTGCTAATTGGGTGAGGATTACGTCTGTTGTAAGTCAGCCTAATGCCTCCAAAGAGCAAATTTAGGGATGCAGTGAAGGCGGTGACACACATCCTCGCAGCGCAAGCTGAAACCAGGCAGGATTAAGACGAGTTTAAAATATGTATGATCATTAAGTTCAGCAAACGCCACCACTGCATGACACCATGACCCAAATGCACTGCTGGAAGAGCTTTCAAGCTCTTAAAGGGACAGTTCACCCCAAAATCAAAAATACATATTCTTCCTCTTACCTGTAGTGCTATTTATCAACCTAGATAGTTTTGTGTGAGCTGCGGAGTGTTGGAGATATCAGCCATAGAGAGGTCTGCCTTCTCTCCAGTATAATGGAACTAGTGGGGACTCGGCTTGTGGTGCTCAAAGCGCCAAAAATAATAATACATTTGAAAAACTCAATACCAGTGTCTTACTCCAGAAATCATGGCCCAGTTACTGAAGATAATCCACAGTCCTTGTTGTGAGCAGGTTCATGGAGGAACTGTTTTCCTTTTTCTGAACTACATCCACCAACAGGATCACTGTACAGGAGGAAGAGTGCATCTACTCATGGACGAGAAGCTCGTGGTGTCCTCCTGTTAGCTACCTCAGTGGTGCTAGGTGAGCTAGCAGTTGATGCACGCCTCCCTCTGCACGGTGATGCAGTTGGCGAGTGTAGTTTGGTAGAAAGAAAATAGTTCCTACTGGGTTTAGGATGTGTTTACTCATACCCTCCTGAAATTTCACTGGAGTATACGATATATCACTACATCACATGGCTCGTGGCATTTTCAGTCTAAAAAATAAACAAAATAATATCAGAACGTCATCAGTATCGGCTGATACCAGCTTTAAAATGAACTATCAGAATCGGCCAACATGCTTTTTCTTATTTTGCACAATGAATGAATATTACATGTCTCCATCTGCTGGTGGGCCATCATGATAAATGTATGCATGTGTAAGGGACCTGATGATCACTAAAATTAGGTGGAGAAAAAAAGTGGATATATTGATATCTGTATCGTTATCGGCCAAATGAGTTGTAATATATCATATTGGATACAAGCAAAAATCCAATATCATGTATCCCTACAACAAAGGTAATATTCTTACACCTCTTTTCCTTATTAAACAGAGTAATAAACCCACGCACTTTGTCAATTTATGTTTCTTTCCTTTACCGAACTAAGATCAGCTTAACTGCCCTGTTAACTCACGTAAAACACACTTCATTCAAACTCGACAGTAACAAAATAAAACTCATAAAAACCTGAATCTGCTGTGGTCGAAATAATCCCTTAGTTGGATGTAAAAACAAGCTGCTGTCTCTCTGCTCTCTCTCTGCTCTCAGCAGGCACTACACAGGCCGGCTGTTTACAGTCGCTGCTCAGGCACGTTATCCCCACCACTGGCAATCAACTCAGCTGCCTGTCACGCCACACTGACCTCTGGTGGTGCATGATGTGCACTACATGCAACACATCCTCATTACAGCCTCTCCAGTTTGAGGTTAATAGAAAGATGAGAGTCTTCACGAGCGTGGACGTTCAGAGCAGCTACTCACACGTTTACCTGCTGACGTGGTCGGACAACACCTCGTACAAACTAACCTCTTTATCAGGCTGCAAAATTATTTTATTATCGATTAATCTGTTGATTATTTCCCCTATCACTCAATTACTTGTTTGGTCTAGACAATGTAAGAATATGGGGGAAAATGTTGATCAGTGTTTCCCAAAGCACAAGATGTCACCTTCAAATGTCTTGTTTTGTCCAAAGCCAAAGATATTCAGTTTACTGTCGCAGAGGAGGAAAGAAACCAGAAAATATTCACATTTAAGAAGCTGAAATCAGAAAATTTGGACTTTTTTGTGTCTCTAAAAATTACTCAAACTGATCAATGGATCAAATCAATTTTAGAGTTCCAGCTAATGGATTAATCATTGCTGCTCTGGCTCTTTTAAAGCATAACCTCACTTTAAGTCACCAGGGTGCCCTGTTTTTTAAATCAGGAAAGTACACAAGACTTTTTTTTTCAGCATCTGCGTCACATACAATTCGACACATTCACACTTGGAGCTTCCAGGTACAACAAGATGTCCTAAAACAGTAGCAGCTGTCCTTTAACTGCAGTCTGCTGGATGTTTCTTCTCTGTTAAACCCAGGACACAGATCTGAAATAGCAAACTTAAAAGCTTTAGACTTCGCGTGATTTAAGGCTCTCCATTAGGCCCTATCCAGACCGCCAGCACGACATCACCCTGCTGTTTATTTTCTTTGAGGCAGGATTTTACAACCCTGACTCCTGCAGGGTAAGCAGTTAACTGAGCACAACACTACAAGGTATTCTAACCTAATCCTCCTGTACTGTGGCAAACCTGCAGCAACAAGGCGTCATTGCAGAGTTAGAATCCTGCTTTGCATTCAGAGAAACTTCTTGTGAGACTGTTTTCTTTGTTTGACATGATTTAATGCAGCATAATGAGGAGGCTGACCTTCTTTACTGTGCATGTGTGCAGTTACAACCATAGCAGTGTGTCATCCATATGAACAGGCTCATTCTGCCATCATCTACAGAATGAAATAATAATGATATTAAACTCATTTTTGTGGCGATACCTTGTAGGCACCTCAGGTAGCAGCGGTGTTTCCTGGACCTGAGATCCCCCACTGCTTTAATGAAAAGCGCTTACAAAGTAAAATGTTTCCCTTAAAGGTTTATCCGTACACCTGAGGAGCTGTGGCGCCGAGGTACGAGGTCACATGGCGGCAGAATAAAGCAGCTCACTGTGGAGAGATGGAGGATGAGAGAAGGAGGAAGTGAAGGAGGAGGCCTGAGGACTATTTTAAGAAAAAGGAATTTCAGCACCGGCGGCCGTGACCTTGCTTCCAAATTCAGCCTCCCAACACTCTGGCAGCATGTTTACCCACAAAACCTAACAAATACAGTGTGTCTCTGTCACTGTTGGGAGTGTTGTTTGAGGAAGGGGGGGGGGGGGGGGGGCTTCTTCTAACTTCATGACTGATTCATGGAGGAGAAGAAGGAGTGGGGTGTCTTCATTATGCCCATAAACCCATTCACAGTGTGTTACGTATAACTGCCTGCCTGCCTGCCTTCGGCTTGCCTAAGACCTCATGGATAATTCAACAGCTTATTCACAGGAGAACGACAAGAGTGGAAACGGATGGAGGGGATAAAGATAGCACGGACAATCCGGGTGAGATTCACTCTACCCAGCAACCAGAGGATCCCTCTGAGAGCACGGAGCATGTGTCCTTTAGCTGCGTCGGTTTGTTGTCGTGTCACTGGTCATTTTAAAGGTTCCACCACAACCATTTATCCCTGCGTGACGGGTTCATGACCTGAGGTTGACAAGTTAGGTACAACTGTGCAATCAGTGGTGACATGGGGATCCATTCTGCGCTAAAGAGGGTAAA